TTATATGGTTGACAAAGCACAGAAACGCTTGCCGCTTGTTGCTTTTACATTTCAAGCGTTTTTGTTGTCTATGCTCTCCTTTCGCCAAGAGGGATTGCAATGCTGCGAGATGAAATTATTGCTTCAGCACCTAGAACACACAGTTGATCTCAATAAAACAGCCGTTTTTGAAGAATGATTAGGGAGCCTGTGGCAATATTGAGGATGATGGTACAGGAAGCAGCTTATGACCTGCTTTTAGCATCTCTTCTTCATAAGAAATTGCAGGTTACTCGCCTCAGAGAAATTTGTTTTAGATCAAGCGGCTCTTTGAAGTTATACTGATAAAGCAGAAACTCACTTACGACGGGAAAACGTAAGTTTGCTTCTGGCTTTGTAATTCTATCACATCAGATCCTAGTGACACCTTTTAGTTACAAGCAAGGAGAAGAAGTTCATGTAGAAAACTTGGAGTATGGGAAGTTTCCTGCTAAAATGGACTGTATTACGGACACTGTTGTGTCATTCAAATCAACGCTACCTTGGGACACCAGACAAATACACGCATCTTACTCTGACCTATCGGAAGGACGAGTGCAGATTTCTAAGAAGCGCAACAACTAGGAGACGATTTCTCAACTTTGATTCTCTTATATTTGCTCAATTTTTCTGAGATAACATTCTGTAACTTTTTTTATGTACTAATTTTACCAACATCAAGGAGTTCGACAAGTGAACCTTCTGTAACTTTTTTATGTATTAATTTTACCAACATCAAGGAGTTTGACAAGTGAATAACTTCTGCCCACGAAAAGTGTGATTTTTATGGCAACTGGGAACATACAAATATGTCATAAAATGTGATAAATAGAAATGAATTGTTTGTGTGGAGCTGGTAATTTATCTACTTTTTTTATACATGAAATTTTTTAACAATTCACTAACAAATAAATCGTGTCCCTAAACTTTGATCCTACGTCTATATATAGCAAAAAAAAGTTCAAGTATGAAAGAAAGTCGAACTTTCTGACCTAAGCATGAATTAACATGCAAGATATATAAATTATCAACTGAACAACAATAACAAATTAAATGAAAAGCCTAGGAGGTTATTGTGGATTTGAAGGCGTCCGTCTTCCCATTCTTCTTATCTGGACAAGCCCAATACGATAAGGATAAGACGGTTTCATAAGCGCCAAAAAATACAAAACCACCGACAGCCATCCACAGAACTCGTGGGGTGACTCCAGAAAACAAAGCTTTCACTCCACCAACGGAATGAACCTAAAGCAGTAAACAAATAGTACTTAATTTATTAAAAAAAGTAAATTAGGACCTCTTTGAGTGTCATCAATATCGTAGGAGCTTTGGGTGTTTTAGACAACATTATTCTAGTTTTTGCAACATCTAGGGGTGTCGTAATAGCTGCAGCAACTGATCCTGCTACGCTACCGCAAGCAGCACCTTCCAAAGGCGAGCAATCCCTCCCCTGAATAGTAGTAAATTGTATGTAATACATTGTACTTTGCATTATATATATATATATATTTATTTATTTATTTATTTATTAATATTTGTATAGTAATATAAAACAGTTCAATATGTTTAAAAG